TGAATAAATACTCAAAAATTAGTTAAAAGATTGGATTGGATAACTATGAAATTTCATCGTGAAACAAATTTCTCTTAATAACTATGAAATTAGTTAGCAAAATCTGATCGGATAAAAGATACATAATTATATAATTATATAATAATCATTTTGCCTTCAATTTCAAATTGCATGGTTTTTTAAAAATTGCTAAAATTAGTATGTCAACATGGTTGACTAATTACTTTTTAAAAGTTTCCACAAATGATTTATTGACCTCTCTTTTTCAATATATACTAGTCGTGACCCGTGCGATGCACGGTATGATATATTTAATTGAAACTTTTTTAATAGTGAATATTAAAATTAATAGATTTGTTATATATACGTAACAAACGTAAACAGTTTGGGCGTCCTTATTGAACAATGGGTTGAATGGGACGATATTGAATTAGATCGATAGCAACACTTACATTTTACCGCCTCGACAATGGAAACTTGATTGGTGCAGTAAGAGTTGTATTTTCGTTCTTGTTGTCACTCAAGATGTCTATTACGATGCTTTATGATCCAAGAATATTAGAATTATTCGATTTTTTTTTTCCATAAAAGTTACTTTGACATGTTTATTCAAACAATTACACAAAAAATATAAATAACTAATAAAATATCATAAAACCGATGTGAGAATATCATGATGTATATATAAAATAAATTATAAATGGAATATAAATGAAATACATTTATAATATCACTGAAGGACATATGAATTGGAGTATTTGATGAACTGCCTAATCCAATTGCCACTTGCCATTTGCTAACGGTTGATCCAGTGAGAAAATGGGATTCATAGTACCTATATATGTAAGGTCAATATAACAATACTGAAAGATTGTGTATAATAAATCTATAAAAATAAAAGGGTAAAAATATAAAATCAATAGACATTATTAATAAAAACAATAACCTAACAACAATCATCACATTTAATCAAATTAACAATAATTAAGAATGGATATATAACCGATATAAAAACACATATATTAGTTTTTCTAATATTACGCACATAAAATTCATCAAATGGACCATAGCATATTTATGTAAATAAAATATCGGGTCAATTAAATGAAAACATTAATTTTGTCAAAAAAAAAAATGGCCTAATAAAAACAACCCATATCATATTTAAAAAAATGTCTGATCAGGCCCATGAATAACTATTTTTTTTTTTCTAGAACGGGCCAATTAGTTAAACATCTCGTTTTCAAATAATTTTTGCTTGACAAAAATATTATAGCTCGCTAATTTAAGCCCAAAAACTGTACCATTTTTCCAGCCCACATTAAGACCATCTCAAAATGATCCAACGATTGTAATTAACGATGGATATAAACAGAAAATTTGTGGGCAGTAGGGTTTAATTTTTCTCACATCATCTATGCCGCTTCCCTTCGAAATTGTCGGGTTAATTTCTAAGAATTTTATCTCTTTCCATGTTTAATTTAAAAAATTTCTTACTACTATTGTACTAAAACCGCCGATTTCTTACTAATTTTGTTCAAATTCATCCGAGATTTGAGGTATGCGAGATCACACTCTTAGTAATGATTTTTTGTTCGATTTTATAATGGTCGGAGCTATTTTTTCTGGCTTCATTTGATGAAGCCATCTGATCAATTGCGAGATTTGACGGAAATATTGAAGACGGAGTCTGAAAATTCGGAGGTAGAGTTGTCCAATTCATGCACAATATGGATCAGCCAAACACAAAGGTTGTTTATACATTTTTTTTTTCAACAAAATTTCGATGCATGTTTATATAGATTTTTTTTAAAATGGGTTTGTATCTCTGTTTATCCTATGATTCATCATTTAGAAACGTTTAAAATGATTTATATTTTTCTTTAAATTTCCACTTCTTGCACACATGAGCTATGTATGTGTTGTTGATTTAAGTCTGAAAAGATATACTCCATACTTTATAAGGAAAAGCCAGTCTCTGTTACTGTTAGGTAAAGAGAACTACATGTTCTTTCATAGATGATCTTATTATTTCTTAGATTTGCTTGAATCTTTTACTTGGGGTTGAGGGTTTCCAAATAGAGGGTTTCGTTGTAGTGATTTTTGTGGATATCAGTCTATGTTATTTTCAGTTCTATAGGAAATTGTTTTAAGATGGAAAAATGAGGGTTAGGGGTATTTGATCTGTTGGGTTTTGGTGCACAGAATCATATATGAGGTTATGATGGCTTATTTGGTTTTCATTGTTTTTGTTGCAATGTTTGATGATTTCGTCTGTAGTTATTAATTGTTATTGTATTTGTGTGTATCTTCAGATTATTAATTCAAAATCTTTAAAAATGGGTTTGTAAGTCTGTCGATTGGAAATGACTTAAAAAATATCATATTTTTTTTTTGGTGTTTGTAACTCATGTCATTTGGTTGCGGATTCACTAATCCAAAAACATAATTCGGCTCCAAGCAACACAAAAATCGGTCAAACAAAGGTGACAACAATAGAAGCTAAAGTACAAGTACCTAAAACTATAAGCTTACAATATCGTGCATAGCAGTTTATAATAATGTTTGCTACCTTTTTGCAGGATTTGTATCTAGAACACAATGATAGAGAATATATAAATTCAGTGAAAGATACATAATATCAAACAAGTACTCTCTTTTTCATTTGCAATTTGTAGAAAATTAATGTCTATAACTTTAATTATTTCTGTTTGCATGTGAACATCCGACATGATATCGAGAATGTTGGATAAGCGAACTATAGCATTCAGAAGAGTTGAAACACAAACAAATAACAATGGCTATACAATTAAAGGTATTACAATTTTGTATGTGCTTCTAATAACTTTATCATATTTCACTTTTATTCTTTTTGATTTTGTGTAAATTGTTTCAAATTTTCTGTTGCATGAAAAATATGAAATGAAGCAGACATAGTGTACATTCGTGTTCGTTGATTGAGTGCTAAACCAAATTGTAAGGTATTGTTCTTGTTCTTATGAAAAAATAATATGAATTCTATCATATGGATTGATAAAAATTAGTTGATAATTTGTTGTGTCTGGTTGTAGAAAACGCATGTACTGGAAAAATCCAGAGCCTGACTAAACAAATACATGGACAAACAGACTGTGCACATAACTCATCCCAATTAGATATCATTCAGGTATGTTTGCATATATTTGTACAAAATATCAACTAAGTAAGCTATTTACTTGGATATTAAAAATATAAACTTGGAATTTGTTAGACTCATCGGTCGTTTGGCTTCTTTTGTTAGATCTTTGGTCTGCTACACTCCTATTTCTGTCTTAATCTAAATCAAGCAAAACCTCTGTTAGAATTTATATGAAACATTATATATGTTATATAAAACACCAATAATATGCATATACATATATTCCAGAACATTCCCCGTGGTATGATCTTTTACATTCAAACTATTTATTTTTTGTTTTCTCATATATTTCTTTAGTCTTATATTCATATGTTTCATACCATACCATGTGCTATAGTCTTTGACATTCAGAAATTAAAATATTGTAAAACATGACAATATATTCAGAAGTTAAAATACTGAAAAAATTACAGAAAATATGGTCTTTCACTTATGATTCAGATCATACCCTGCTATAGTGTATTAGATTCAGCCTACTTTGTTTTTTGGGTGACGTATCATAATTGCAAAAGCATGACAGAACATATAACAAAATTACCTGTGAATATGTTTTCAGCATTGTTGTTTTTTCTGCGTTTATTTAGCTAATTTTTTCTTGCATTCTGGATGATGTATTCATCTGAACCCATTATAAAACTAAATATGATGTTGTGACTTGAGACACTAAAGTAGGCTTTAGAATTCTTCAACTCCTGCAACCAAAAAATATTGAGGAATGTATGTGTAAATCATCATGAATGTATAAATCATATAAAATTCAATGAATCGTAGAGTTCAATAAAAAGATTTGTACCTGGTCCTCTGCAAATATCAAATTAGTATTGCGAGCCCTTCACTGTAATATAGATTACAGTNATTTTTTTTTTTAAAGGCCAAGATATATAAAATTCAAACAATTATTCTGTTAGCCTCGATGTTTTTCAGTTTCCTATAGGAATAGGTATCTTACACAATGGTTGTTCCCTATAGAATTCACATGTATTTTTGGATTCTTTCTACGCAGGGCTCTTCGGATTCGGTAACAGAATTGCAAATTTTGAAAGAACTTCAAATTCGTTGATTTTGAGTTATCCACTTATCCTTTTGTAATCTATTTGTTTGGCATGTATTATTCAAACTCTTTTATGTGTGGTATATTTTACTTTATGTGCGTATCTATTAGTATGAATATATTTTTATATTATTATTTTTGTAAAGAAAACGAGTTTGCAACAAAATCATCTACTATATCAAATCTGATTTGTTTACCAAAATAAAACAATTCATATGTAAAATTAATGAAAATCCCAGCAATATAGTTAGCAAAATTCGATAACTTTGGTAAGGCAATTTAGATCATTATCTTCAAGATCTTATAATAATAATGAAAATTTTGAACATATAAAATCCCACATAATCCGTTACAAAATCTGATAACTTTGGTAAGGCAATTTAAATCATTATCTTCAAGATCTTATAATAATAATGAATATTTTGAACATATAAAATCCCACATAATCCGTTGATATTGGTTAATCCACCAAAGCGTGTATACTTTGTCCGAAAATTAAGGAACGATTTTCCCATATTAACAAAAAGCACAATCTTTGGCGTGAAAAAAAGATCGGAATAAATGACAAGCTTTTGGATTGATTTAAAACAAAAAGAAAATCAAGAGAAAAAAAAAACGGAATTGCTAAAGGGTTTCCAAAAGTGGGAAGTCAATAGTGTTGTTGACCAATTTTTTAAAAGTTTCCACAAATGATTTATTAACCTCTCTTTTTCAATATATATAGATAGATGCACAAGATCAAATATTAGTAGGAATTAATCAAGCATTATCCAGAAAACCATCCAAACCGACCCTAAATAAATATGAATTCAAATTAAAGCATTGGTTTTTGATAAGGTGAAAATACCAAATGCGCCCCTAAATTATCGGACGGACGTAACGGTGTGCACACTGGAGTAGCTGATCTGATAATATAATCTAACCAAGAAAAGAAGCAAAACAAAACGCAGCAAATCTCGAGAGGACAACATCGTCATTTCAACTTTCATCACTTTCCTGCTTTTGTTGCTGTTTTTCAGACGGACGATAGATTAGATAAATAACCATTTGATTTGAAGAGTCGCTCTTTATAAATCCATTATTCATACATATCACTCTCTTCATTTTTCTTTCGCCCACCCCACAACACTTGTCGCTAGACCAGCCATGGACAAGAGAACTCCGGTGAGGAAGCCTCACACTTCTACGGCAGATCTGCTCACTTGGTCGGAGAATCCGCCGGAGTCTTCCCCCGCCACCGCCTCCTCCGCCCGCTCCCACCAGGTAACGGCCTGCATTGTCGTTCATCTTACCACCTGCGATTTTGCCTCCTGTTCCTGATTTATTTGTTTTTTAATTTTCGGAAATTGAACGAAACGACAGCCGTCGGATGGGATCAGCAAAGTCGTGTTTGGTGGTCAGGTTACTGACGAAGAAGTTGAGAGCTTGAATAAAAGGTTTGAGATCTAGCTGTTTTTCATCCATTTTTGTTCGTTATTATCTGCTTTGTTTGTTAGGACCTTGTTGAATCCATTTTCCCCCCCTTTTTTTTAAGATCTAATTTTGCCATTTCATTGAAGAAATTTGTGGTGGCCTTTTCTCTAAATGTTTTGAAAATACATTCGTTGGGACAAAATATGTTTGGATGATAATATTGGAAAACGCACCATTGCTGTTACAAATTATGGGAGAACTCATACATGTTGTGTTTTGGATGGCTGCCTTCTTGTATTGTTTTGGATCTTTCGTAATTGAGATTGTTGGGCAGAAATCGGCATTCAGATCTACAAAAGATTCCATTTTTTTATTACAAAACCAAAAATCAATTCTTTTGCTAATTGAATGAGGTCAATTCTTCTGCATCTTGGTATCTCATATTACATAATATGTTTAAGATCTTGTCACTTAATTTATTTAAATTGGGTCCAGTATATTTATTGTTAGATCACTCCTAAATCATGAAATATCTTGCTCTAATTTTTTTTTGTTTCAGATACTCGTTTACAAAAAAACCCAAAAAAATAAAATAAAAAAAAAATCAAATCTCAAACTCAAAATCTAATTCAACTTTACTCAATCACACTATCCTCAGTATTATCAATATAATTAAATAATATCAATGAGTAATCTTGCACATCACATTAACTTTAATTCAATATTCATCCACATATCACTTCAAAATCCAATCATCTATCCTCTATTTTTACATCAAATCAATTTGAATAATTTCATTTTAAAATATTATGTTAATACAAGCTTAAAATCCTACAAGCTCTGGTTGAGAAAAAAACCTATCAAATATTCATTAATTTTGGCATGGTGATTAATTTATACCATAACGAATTTCCCTCTCTTTTCTTTTTCTTTTTGAAAAAATGCTGACTTTTATAGCAAATGAATGTTGTAGAAAACCTTGCTCGGGCTATAAAATGAAGGAAATGACTGGCAGTGGCATTTTCAAACCAAAAGGAGAAAATGGAGCATCAGAATCTGAGGACGACAGCCAAACCCCAGCAAACAAAACTGGGCTGCGCATGTACCAGGTATTTATTTGCTCAAACATTCACTTTTACACTCATCTCATCACCAGATGATTACAAAAACCACAACTTTTTTTATGGTGTGAAATATGTCCCAGCAAGCATTGGCGGGTGTGAGTCATATATCATTTGCCGAAGAAGAAACTGTTTCTCTCAAGAAACCAAGTACTCTTCCTGAAGTTGCGAAACAGCGTGAGCTGAGTGGGAATCTGGAAAGCGAATACGAAGCAAAGTTGAAGAAACAAATTTCTGATGCCAAGAACAAGGAGCTCAGTGGCAACAATATATTTGCTCCACCCCCTGAAATTCAACCCCGCCCTTTGTCTGCTCGGGCTTTGGCATTAAGAGAAAGTATAACCATTGGGGAACCCACATCTCATAATGTAAGTGGCCAACCCCTCACTTTTCATCCATATCTATATATCTACATACTACATTTTTCTGATAAATAAGTTGAATTTACTGCAAAGATCTCTCTTGTATCGTGTTACCTGAAAACTTGGGGATAGTTTTGTAATTTATGTTGTCCATTGCAAATGGAGCTGGAAGAGTCATTGTTGACAATTTTCCTGACATAGTGCTAATAATGGACTAGATCAAAATGGCTCAATTAAATTCTAGTGCTTCTTCTATTAGTGAAGTTTCTAGAAAAAAAAAAATATATCAAACGGCGCAATGCACCTTGAGTCACTACGGAAACAGCCTCCTTGTATAATTACAAGAGTAAGGTCTGCGTACAACTGACCTCCCAGACCCCAACCTGTTGGGAATATACTGGGTATGTTGTTGTTGTAGTTTTGTAATTTATCTCCAATGGAAAAAAGAGTTGGCTTTTTAATGGGTGCTTGGATGATGTAACAAACACTCATCAATGTGTTGATGCTCTTCAACATGGGTTGCCTAAATCCTGTCTAAACAAAAAGTAAAACACATGCTGAAAATGTGAAAACACATGTCATCCTCCAAGTCCCATCACATGACTAAATTTTGTCAAAAGAAGTAAAAAATGAAAAAGAAGAAGACACATGTTCAGCTATTCCAAAATTTGTGGTGCTTGAAATAGAATATAAATACTCTTTTGTTTTAAAAGGGTACGGAAGGTCATGCCAACGGTGAGTCGAGCGAGCCATCCGTGATGAAGACATCTAAGAAGATTCCGAATCAGAAATTTTCCGAGTTGTCGGGGAATGACATTTTTAAGGGAGATGGGGTGAGCAGTGCATCGGCTGAGAAGCCCCTGAGTTCGGCCAAACTTCGGGAGATGAGTGGGAGCAATATATTTGCAGATGGGAAGGCAGAGTCGAGGGACTACTTTGGTGGGGTCCGCAAGCCACCGGGTGGGGAGAGCAGCATTGCCTTGGTGTGAGTGACTTGTGTTGTTAGGTCTGAGTCTGACTGAAAGAAGCCTTCTTCAACGTGCTTTGTTAATTGTGTGTCGTCATTGGTGATTGGTGTTATCTATCTAGACAGCAATTTTCATTTTCATTTTCTTCTTTTACGTTGG